GTCGACCTGGACCTCGATTTGCTGATCAGGGAGAATGTGAAAGCTGGCTGGAAAGAGTGCTGGCGAGACTATTATGGCCAGGCGACCTTGGTCACACAACAGCCGAGGGCCACCCTGATACCACGATGTGGACCTGGACACCGAAGTCTCCGCTGGATGGCGGGTCAACGACGACCGAGTGACGAGTGGCACTGGCTGGAAAGAGGTGTTTCAGGTGAGCTGCCCACGCAATGCCGGGAGTACTGCCATCTCGTGATCCTCTACAGGTGGCCTGACTTGAAAGTCCGGAGTGGCCAGAGCAGCCAAGCAGGTGATGGTGACGTGTTTGCCACCACGTCCGAACTCACTCAGCGTGAGAAATCCGAGGTTCTGCGGTCGCATGTGAACTTAGGACATCCGAACAACCGTGAGTTTGTGAGGTTGTTGAAAGCCGCAGGGACCCGCGAGGACATTGTGCAGTATGTGTTGCGGGAGTTCTCCTGTGCGGGATGTGCCAAGTCCCAGCGACCACCCACCAGACTTCCCTCGGCGACTCCACGGAGCTTTGACTTCAACGTGGTGATCGGCGTGGACCTCCTGTTCCTGGCCGGTGTGAGTGACAAGGCCGACCTCCCGGTGATCAACGTGACGTGCCTCGGGACCCTCTACAGCGTCTTCGGTCTGGTGGATGTGAAGCGAAGGACTTCGGCAAATGTGTGGGACGCGTTTGTTCGGCTATGGCTGCGAACATTTGGGGCTCCACAGTGTGTGATGTTCGATGAAGGAAAGGAATTTACTGCCGGGCCCTTCCAAAATGGTCTGGAGATGCATGGCATTCAGCCTGTGGAGATCAACCGTCAAGCTCCCTTCGAGCTGGGCACTGTTGAAAGAAGAGGAGGGATGTTTAAAGAGGCTTATTATCGGACACGTGAATTACTACAACCACAAAGCCTCCAGGAAGTTGAAAACATCATCTTCGAAACTTCGTGGGCGATTCAAACGCTCACGAACCGCTCCGGCTATAGCCCAGCGCAGCGCGTCTTCGGCAAACAGCCGAGTATGACGCTGGACCGTCTGACTGACGGACGAGAATACTGTCTCAGCCCTTCTGCCGATGCTGCATGGGAAGAAGCAAATCGGGTGCGCCAAGCGGCGAGGAAAGCTTTGATTGAGTTAGACTCGAAGAGTCGCCTCGCGCGTGCTCGATTGGGCCGACCACGACAGGAACTACAACGACGAGAGTTTCAAGAAGGCGAACCAGTCCTCGTCTGGAGGGCAGGGCGCCGGGGGGCCACTGCCAAAATAGGCCCATGCTATGTGATTTTGCAGTGTGGGAACACTGTGTGGCTGTCCAGACGTGGAGACCTCTGGAAGTGCAATGTCGGACAGGTCTTCCCGATGTCGGCCAGTGAGAAAGATGGGCTGGAGGCGGTGCCGGAGGAGTTGTTGAAGTCCAAGATGAAGTTGCGATATGACTCCGAAAAGCTGCAGTACGTGGATGTGAGTGCAGAAATGCAAGGTGAGTCCCAAGGACCCTCTGGTGGACTTGATGCAGAACAACCTCCAGAACCCCCAGAAGTTCCGATCCCAGATCCACTGCCAAGTGATGTAGAAGACTATAGTCCCAGTGTACTTGGTGCAGAACAACCTCCAGAACCCGCAGAAGTTCCGATCCCAGATCCCGTGGTACCAAATATGTCAGATGATTCCCCTGGGACGTCGTCTGGTTCTAGCACCTCTAGATCGTCCAAGTCCACTGGGTCGAGTTCGTCTTCCAGTTCCAGCGGGAGTCCGTCGAGTGTCAGTGGTCCGATTCCGAGGGCTGAGTGGCCACCAAGTGGTGATGGAACCCAACTGCGCAAGTGGGTTCGCTATGACTCCAATGGGCACCGATTCCGGACCACGAACAGCCTTGGACCTATGTGGGCAGACGTGGTGCAACGGATCACCATCGACAACGCGACTGGTGAGGTGATCAAGCGAGAAAGCATCACGGGCCGGGAAAGTCCAAAGCAACTTCACAGACCACTTCCTCCTGGAGTCAAGTCGGTGAAAACGGTGCTGGTGTACAAGCGTGTGCGAGGCCATCCGGATCCTGGAGTTGATTTCAGTGATCCGGATCAACCTGAACGAGAGGGACAACCTCATGAGGATGCCAGGCTGTTTGACGCCAGGCTCAAGCGCGGGCTTGATGATGTGGGCGGTGAAGCGCCAACAAGCTCAGCGCCTCAGCGATCAAAGATCTTTGGTGCATGGATGGCCGATGCGAAGACTGAGTACTGTGACCGGGCCAAGCACCCAGTGATTGCCACCAGCCGTGACAAGGTGCTCTTCAAGAAGCTTCTGCTGGCGGACATGGTGTTTACCGAGCCGGAGATCTATGGTGCCTTTGTCGGGCTCACGAAGAAGAGTGGCAAGGAGCTGAACGAGAAGACGTTCTCCGAGGCGGATGCTAAACTGTTCGATGCGGCCAAGGTGCTCGAGATTGCCAACCTCGAAAATGGGAATGCGATTGCTTTCATTGGCACTAAAGATGAGGCCGATCGCATCCGCCGGGAAGAAGGGGACCGCATCATGCCTTCTCGTTTCGTCTTGACAAAGAAAAGCCAGGAAATTGGCGAGAAGTGGAAGGCTAAGGCGAGATGGATATTGCTGGGACACCGTGATCCAGATGTGATGTCTCTGGAAAGGTTCAGCCCGACGCCAGCCGGACCGACTGTGATGCTCGCCTTCCAGATTATCGCGAGCATGCGGTACAAGATGGTCGTGATGGATGTGACGAGTGCCTTTGGTCAAAGCGATCATGAGTCACGACCCCAGGGCAACCTTTACGCTTCCCTGCCTACCAGCGGGATTCCTGGACGTCCGAGTTGGACACTGATCAAGGTGCTTACTGCCGTTTACGGCTTAGTGAACGCGCCGGCTACCTGGAGAAGAACGGTGGTCCGTTTCCTGCTGACCCTGGGATTCTGCGAGTCGGTGTACGACCCCTGCTTGTTCTTCCTGCCATTCGACCAGGCCGAGCGTGATGCTGGAGCTCATCGTGGCTGTGCGGGACTAGTTCTCCTCGACGTGGACGACTTTGTCCAAGGAGGCAACGGGAGGCACCAACGCCTCATGGAGGAGCTACGTCTCCGGTTCAAGTTTGGAAAATGGCGGGTGATCTACGAAGGGCACGGCGAGTACTTGGGCCGAACAGTGAGGCAGTTGTCCAGCTATGAGATACGGGTGGACATGGAGCGCTACGTGTGCGAGAAACTGCGGCCAATCACTTTGTCGAGGCAGCGGCTGAAGGATGGCGATGACTCGCCATTGACGGAGCGTGAGGTGAGCATGCTCAGGGGCGCTGCCGGATCCCTGCTGTGGGTCGGAAAAGAATGCCGGCCAGACGTCGGCGCAGCATGCGCTATGTCGATGTCGTGGGGTTCGACTCCTCCCACGATCCGCCATGTCAAGGCTGCGAATAAGGTGATCAACGAGCTGCAACGAACACCAAAGGTGTATCTTCGAGTGCTGCCGATCCCGATGGAACAGGGGATTTTCATGAGCATCTCGGATGCTTCCTTGGCGAATGACGATGAGAAGTCTCAGGGTGGCTATGTCGTGGCCTACGTGGACAAGTCGATCATGGACGGCGAGCTGGCCGCCACGAGTATCCTTTGTTGGAAAAGCCACAAGCTGAGGCGAGTTGTCAAAGCTTCACTTGGCTCGGAGGCCCTGGCGATGGATGATGGCCTCAGTGAGCTGGAGTGGCTCCGAGCGATGTTCGCCGAGATCTGCATTCCGGAGGCCGAGGTCATGGATATGACGCGCTTCGGAAATGATGAAAGCGCGGTGGCTGTGCGACAACCGGATCCTGAGGATCCGACAATCATGGTGACGGATGCCAGGGCGCTCTTTGACCTGTACCAGCGGCGGAGCGGTGCTGCTGGACCCGATCGGCGAGCTCAGATCGATGTGGCGGTTCTTTCATGTTCGGCAAAGATACTTCGAGCCAAAGTGTTTTGGCTGCCAGGTGTGTACATGCTGGCAGATTCCTTGACCAAACGGCTGGGGAACTCCCAGTTCACGAGACTCGTGATGTCTCTTGGTTTGTACGGGCTTCGAAAGGAAGCCTTGGAAAGGCTCTTATGTACAGATTCGGAGCTACCCTCTGGTGGATGTGAAACCCTTAGCTTGCTTCCCGAATCTGTGACTGCTGTTTGATCGGTTTGTCAGTCCACGAGGGCATGCTTCGACTGAGCCGTTGCGACCTGCAAGCACTTTCGACCGCAGGCGCCTTGAGCAAGGAAAACAGAGTAGAGTGCCTACTCCGAGGGTTCGCTGCGCATTACACAAGCCGAAGCCGCCCAAGACGGTCCCCGCCGAAGAGGCCGTCCCGGCACCGGCTCCCGAGCCCGCGCAGCCTCCAGAGGCTCATGAGTCGCCAACGCGAGCAGTTCCTCCGAAGCCGGAGCTCCAGCCCCCGAAAGCCGAGGGCTCAGCCCGCGCAGCCGTTGGAGGCTTCGCTCAGCCCGAGGCTTCGCAGCCCGCTCCGCCCGTCGAGCCCGTTAGGATGACGCCTGCGCAAGAGCGGGCCGCAAGGTACATGCAGCGGCAGGACCGCTACATGGAGTTGCTCGCACGAAATACGCACGAACTGTAAAAGGAACAATGCTGCGGCAGTTCAGCCGGCTGTATCCCAGCTATAACCTCAATCCCCTTCTCCGGAAAAGGCACCAGCAGCTTGTCGAAGCCCAAGCCTTCAACCAGTGGCTCTCTCGGCTTGTCACTGGTGCACGGCTGGGACCGCTCCGATGTCCGAGTACTGCAACTGGGAGCAGTGCACGGCCTGTGGACACAGGCTGCGTTTGTTCCGCCGACTGCTCAGACCAGCGTGAGGAATGTGAGAAAAAGGCCTGTTCGACCTGCCCGCAGTGCGGCTGTGCGGAGTGGTGCTATGGGACGTGGGGGCCGTGGTGTGACGCAATCGAATACAAAGGCGGCACGGACTGACTCCCCATAACCACAACAACCTCCAGGCCCTGTGCTCTCAGCAGCGATTTGGTCGTGGCCCTGAATCGAGGAGTTGTGCGTTGCCGTGAGGACGGGTCGAACTGCAGTCACGTTGTCGGATTTGTGGGCACGGAAGGGGCCCGCAGAATGGACGCGGCGGTTGTTTCTGTTTTCAGGAATGGCGATTATCTTCTGACAACGTACAACAAGGTGAAGCGGTGTCCGCGGGACGGTTCAAGCACATGCATGACTGTAGCTGGCCAAGGTGCAGGAGTTTTGAAAGGGAGCCTCAGGTTTGGTTTTCATGTGTCTCTTTGTCTATGTGTATTATATATATATATACATACCTGCGGTGCGACTTTGTCAGCTGGGCGGGTGGGGAAAAAAGAATACATATATATATATATATACATACAATTATATATATATATATATATATATATATATATCGACCTTGATCGTGTCAGCCTGAAGCCTCCAACTGCTTGTGAGCCACAGAGAGGTTTGGTTTTTGTTCATTTCCGAAAGCCCCGGAGGAGGCAAAGGAAACGGCATCGACCAGCTTGACGATCCTCGGGGAGTTGCCGAAGAGAGCAACGGCGACTTCATTGTCGCTGACAGAGGAAATCCACGCGTGCAGCGGTGCCCAGCTGATGGTTCTGGGAAGTGTTCAACAGCTGGTGGGAATGGAGTGGGGCACAAGCTGAATCAAATGCAGCCTGGTGCTGTGAGAATCTTTCGAGATTCCTACCTCTCGGACCTTGGCTCCATGTGTGTGCTGCAGTGCTTTCAGAGCGGCTCAGGCGGCTCAGATCTCTATGACAGATGCGTTGCAGTTCTTGCTGGGCTCTGCTCTCCGGTTGCCTTTGCGATGGCCCGAATGGCGGATACCTGATCCTGGAAAGTGAAATCAGCCATTTGGTTCAGTGTGCCTCCGGGTCCGCCGGGCCCGTGCATCCCGCATGCTCGTCGTGTCGAACAGAGAAGCTAGCATTTACTCTCGGCTGTGGTGTCTTGGCTGACCTGTGGTTGTCTTTTGAGCCTTTAACTACTTGGGTTTCTACAGCAACTCACATGCGTAACAGTATTGAACCTTCCAGGAGGGGTTCAGAATCAGAAGTCAGCCAAGGTGTGTAAAAGAGGCTTTCGTAGCGTACAAATGGGACAAGCCCATCGTTACAGCAAGATCCTTGCATCCAATGGCGATGACTCAGAACTGCCGTAACTTTTCGATACTTCGAGTCTTTCATCTTTCGTTACTCTAACCCCAAGAAGCAGCTAAGAATTATGATTCTTGCTGGGGGTCTAAGTCCAGCAGAGGTATAATGTGCATCTACGTGGCATGTGCGTCTGCTGGGCTCATGCTCCCAGAGTCGCTTGATGCCTTGGACTCCTTGGACCTTCCGAGTCAGATAGCACACACCGCCTTTATCCTTCTCTCCTTGGGCTTGCTGGGGTCATGTGGCCGTCGACTCCCAGCAGCTCACGAAGCTGTAGTCGCTTGCGCAGCGATCTTAGGTGTTCTGAGGTTTGCTTTGGGGATTTCGTTTGGGAGCTTTGGAATCTATGCTGTGCAAGACTTCCTGCTGAACTTGAGCCTCGTGACTGCGCCGGAAGTGGATCGCACAAATCTCTGCAGGCCTCCAAGCAGACCGAGGAGCTCCGTCGCGGCTTCACAAGTTGTCAGAATGCCCACTGCTCTTCTGACAAAGATGCGGAGGCCATTTGGGGGGAGATCGAAAGAAGCGGACTCCTCTCAGAGGTGGAGGACGCCGTGGGAGCCTTGCGCTCCATGAACGTCTGCGCCAAGGAGCTGAGGCAAAGACTCCAAATGACGGGGCCGTTGGGGGATGCTTCCGACTGGAATCGAAGCATCGTCGTCAGTAGCTCCTTCGCCTTCTGGGGATTTTCCCCGCTTCTGCTCCTCGCCTACGCCCCGGGCGGCGACTGTGAGAGATCGATTTCTCATCCTGCAGCGAGGTCACTCCCTGTTAACTTTAAATGTCGGACTTCACCGTCTCACTCAAGGCACGCTGTGGGTCCGCTTGATGCGTCCCACCGCGCCCCTTGGTTTTAAAACACGGCCGGGAGCCACGCCTGCGCACACCCGCAGCGCACGCAATTCCTCAGGATGCAGCGTTTGAATGTTGCTGAAAAAGATGCTCTCTTTGCACGCAGTGTGTTATGCGCAGTCACATCTTTATGCCCCATGCAGCACCGCTACTTTCACTGAGCTTGTGAGGCTTCATGCCCAAGATTGGTTCAAGCAACTTCTCCAAGCGAGCCTTGGGATCCCCGTGACCAAGGCCCCTTGAGGCCTTTCAACCTAGTTCAAAATAAACAGTGACCGCTCCATGACCGCGCAGCTTGAGGTTCAGCCAGATGGCAGCCTGGGCAAAGGACGAGATTGGTGAGGCCTACCAGGACACTTTTAGTCGACATTGTGTCTTGCATGTTGCATGTGCAGGCCCTGCCCATGCTCCTGCGCGGCAAGGCTTGCGAGCTGTTCGATGCGTGGTGCAATGTCAGTAGATATAGAAGAACATATCGCTTGAGCAAGTCAGTGGATAAAGACACACATATTGTGAACGGATCACTTACATGCGGTGTCTCGCAATCCTGTTTGGGCTTTTCAGCGAAACACAACTTGTACACTGAACTCCAGTTGGCTGACTGTTGTAGTTCTTCCTAGTCCATGCGTGCCGCCGCGGGACTGCCGGAGTCCCGCCAGCCCTGGCATACAAATTGGGCATCAAATCTCATGCAGTGTTGGCCTCATTTGCTGCGATGCACGGGATGTTCAGGCTAGATTCTTGCGTGATAGTTCCATGGTTCTTACATGTCCGTGTCTGAGCGCCCCAAACACGGGTCTAAGGATGTTTAGCAATCGTCGGGGCTTGGCAAGTCATTGCATGGAAGAGAGGAATGATCAGGGCATGCGACGCGTCACATTGACTATCCCGTGGAGCTCGGGCAAGCGAGAGTACACAGGTGAGTGGTGCTCAAGCTTGGTCGACGCGAGAGAATCGGCATCAAAACGGGCGTATGATGACCAGAGCACCCAAGAACTTATCAGGATGGGGTCCACAGAGGGCCCATCGTCAAATGCGTGCAAGCGACAGAGGGGCGACAAAACTGCTTGGAAGTCACAGAAGATTCTTCGCCGAGACTGATTCTCGTGGACTCGTGGCCGTACCGTCCTGGTTTATTCCAAGCCGCGCCAAGTCGCGGCTTTGACATCCATGCCATATCTACCAACATGACGATGTGGCTGCATTGGCATCTTGCTATGCTGAGCTTCTCAATGCTGGGCACTCAAGTGCAAGAGTATGGAATGCAAGATCTGTGATGTTGAGACTTGTGGGCAGGATGATTTGGGCAATCCGAGAAAACGTGAGATTTGCTGAGTGTGTCGTAGCTTTCAGTGAAATCAGGAAAGTTTGCTTGTTAGCGTGTGCAAAAGAGGTGCATCCCGTGAGCAGACGCGGGCTTTCCACAGATTGTTGCCATATCGGTGTAGCCATCTAGGGTTTCATGATGCTGCAGTGACGATATTCGCTTGGGCCGAGGGCTGTGTGGTACACAGTGATGACAGCAGTGGCATATTGTTGCAGGCAGTTCTCTACGCAGGCGAGCGACGCATCAGTGCTTGCGAAGCAAGTTATTGATGCCTACGCCAATCGCCAGTATTGTTGTCTTGCTAGTCTGCTTGAGAAGTCATTTAGGCGACTATCCGATCTGTACGTCTTTGGTGAGCTGCTTTCGCGTATTCTCAGAAGCTATAAATAACCTCTTCCATGCGTCTCCAATGTCACTTGAGGCCGTGGTGCCTTCCGGCTTGAGTAACTCTTTTGCACAGCTTCTGTGCGCGAAGGCCGCTGCGCAAATTGTCACTTGCAGCTATATTGATTCGCACGTGGATGCTTGTTTGGTAGGCCGTGCCGCCGCCTGCCAAGCCTGCCCTCGAGGCGCTTCAACGGGCTAGAAGTTTGAAGAATTGGAAGGTGGTGTGCTTTGGATGCCAGGATTTCATGGCAGACTGTCTGAGTCGCGGTTTTTTTCGCGCTTTACTAAACATGAGTAAATACGGAAAAAAATCTTGCAACAGCCGTCCGAAATCAGTGCGCGAGTATGGGCGCGGAAGCACGTGGAAGGTTTCGCGGAAGGCATCTCTCGCGGAAGCTCTGTGACTTCTGTTACGTAAGAATCCGGAATCCTTCCAAAATGGGCCCCAGAGCGTAGGGCCTGGTTGCTCCCAAATCTGAAACATTGCTGTACAATGCTCGAATCACGGGATCGGGGGTTGCGGAGGCACCGCTACAAACGCTCCTTTCAAAGGCCACCTCGCCGCTGCTCTTTTCATCTTTAGCCTCATTGCTTCGATTCAACGTGTCCGCTCTTCGGTAGGCGACTGTTCCTGCTGCAGCTGCTATGCCGCCTGCCCTTGAGGCGCTTCAATTTCCTAGAAGTTTGAAGACTTGGAAGGTGGTGCCAGGTGGTGTGCTTTGGATGCCAGGATTTCATGGCAGACTATCTGTCATTCCAGCTCACGGAGGAGCAGGCTGAGTTGTCATTCCAAAGAGTCCTCGAGGCAGGGTCAAGCAGTGCAAGCAGCAGGCCTCATGGGAGCATGATGCTTGGGATGCCCGCGAGGAACTTTCGAGCGATCGGATTCTTGAGACATTCACATTCCTGAAGGAGGCACAGCCATATTGAGACAAATTTTCCACCATCGTAGTCAATCTTATCCAGGAGGATTTCTGAAAGCTGTGCTTGTGTCGATTGAGGCTGTGGCACAACCCGACATTCACGATTCTTTCATACGATCGCTCTTTTCAAAGGCCACCTCGCTGCTGCTCTTTTCATCTTTAGCCTCATTGCTTCGATTCAACGTGTTCGCTCTTCGGTAGGCGACTGTTCCTGCTGCAGCTGCTATGCCGCCTGCCCTTGAGGCGCTTCAATTTCCTAGAAGTTTGAAGACTTGGAAGGTGGTGTCAGGTGGTGTGCTTTGGATGCCAGGATTTCATGGCAGACTATCTGTCATTCCAGCTCACGGAGGAGCAGGCTGAGTTGTCATTCCAAAGAGTCCTCGAGGCAGGGTCAAGCAGTGCAAGCAGCAGGCCTCATGGGAGCATGATGCTTGGGATGCCCGCGAGGAACTTTCGAGCGAGCAGATTCTTCAGACATTCACATTCCTGAAGGAGGCACAGCCATATTGAGACAAATTTTCCAGCATCGTAGTCAATCATATCCAGGAGGATGTCTGAAAACTGTGTTTGTGTCGCTTGAGGCTGTGGCACAACCCGACATGCACGATTCTTTCATACAATCGCTCTTTTCAAAGGCCACCTCGCCGCTGCTCTTTTCATCTTTAGCCTCATTGCTTCGATTCAACGTGTCCGCTCTTCGGTAGGCGACTGTTCCTGCTGCAGCTGTCATGCCGCCTGCCCTTGAGGCGCTTCAATTTCCTAGAAGTTTGAAGACTTGGAAGGTGGTGTCAGGTGGTGTGCTTTGGATGCCAGGATTTCATGGCAGACTATCTGTCATTCCAGCTCACGGAGGAGCAGGCTGAGTTGTCATTCCAAAGAGTCCTCGAGGCAGGGTCAAGCAGCGCAAGCAGCAGGCCTCATGGGAGCATGATGTTTGGGATGCCCGCGAGGACCTTTCGAGCGATCAGATTCTTGAGACATTCACATTCCTGAAGGAGGCACAGCCATATTGAGACAAATTTTCCACCATCGTAGTCAATCTTATCCAGGAGGATTTCTGAAAGCTGTGCTTGTGTCGCTTGAGGCTGTGGCACAACCCGACATGCACGATTCTTTCATACAATCGCTCTTTTCAAAGGCCACCTCGCTGCTGCTCTTTTCATCTTTAGCCTCATTGCTTCGATTCAACGTGTTCGCTCTTCGGTAGGCGACTGTTCCTGCTGCAGCTGCTATGCCGCCTGCCCTTGAGGCGCTTGAAGAATTTGAAGGGGGTGTCAAGTGGTGTGCTTTGGATGCCAGGATTTCATGGCAGACTCTTTGTCATTCCAACAGGAGCAGGCTGAGTTTTCATTCCAAAGAGTCCTCGAGGCAGGGTCAAGCAGTGCAAGCAGTAGGCCTCTTGGGAGCATGATGTTTGGGATGCCCGCGAGGAACTTTCGAGCGATCGGATTCTTGAGACATTCACATCCTGAAGGAGGCACAGCCATATTGAGACAGATTTTCCACCATCGTAGTCAATCTTATCCAGGAGGATTTCTGAAAACTGTATTTGTGTCGCTTGAGGCTGTGGCACAACCCCGACATGCACGATTCTTTCCTACAATCGCTCTTTTCAAAGGCCACTTCGCCGCTGCTCTTTTCATCGTTGCTTCGATTCAATGTGTCCACTCTTCGGTAGGCAACTGTTTCTGCTGCAGCCGTGATGCGGTTGGCGCAAGGAGGAGGAATGGAAACCTGGACCACGTTTGGCAGGCCGATGCGTGACTGCAGGGTGCTGCCGCCGAAAAATCGGGTCGCTTGAGGTCAAATGGCCTGAAACCTGCGGAAGGAGGCTGCAATGTCTTGCCTTTTTTGGCGAAGAGTTGACGTTCGCGGGCAAAAAGAGCAGAGTGTGCGATGAATGTTCTTGGCAGAACCGCCTCCTGGTACAGAGTGTTGAGATCGCTGGTGTGTAGAGGTTCAGCATAGGGCGCAAGTTGAATGCCATTGCTCGTGATAGAAGCCAGTCGGCCCGCGCGAAATTGCCATGGCTCGGCATGTGAATACACAAGAACGAAGCACAGCGAAGCCGCATTGTATTTCGGTGACAATGAGCGCCTTTGTAATCACTAGACCCTGCAATCTTTTGTTGTAGCTTGTAACCAGTTTGTAACCATTTCATCCAGCAGTATCGTTCGCATGGCCCTTTGGCTTCTCCTCGTGGCAAGCTGGCGCAGTGCTGTGGCGGGAGTGCCGCTACCGTGGATAGGTTTAGGCCTCGACAATGGCTGTATGGGCTGCTTCCTGTTTCTTTTTTCGGGTCCCAGATGATGTTTCAGGGTTTGGAGGGTCGGTTTTGTGGCAGCGATGCACAGGACAAGCTGCTCTTGGAGTTCCAGCTTCACTTCAGCAAAAAACAGTAGCGCAGTAGTGCAAGATCATGCTGACGGTAGCACAAGGAGAAAACATCTGACAACGATCGGCCAAATTCTTGTTGCAGGCCTGGCTGGCAACTTAGACCACGACCCGGTCGGAGTCGCCGCTGCCGTGGAGGACTGTCTGCTTTCCCTGTGCCGAGTAAGCCCCGAAGTTTTGCAGCTTACAAGCATGTGTATTTTGAGCTTTGAATATTGAGACCATAGTCAAGCCGCAGCCCCACACATCGAAACGCTGAATCCTAACACCAGCACATAAACCCTAAACTCCAGGCTTCATAAACCCGAAAAGCCGTGTGCTGAGCCTTAACCCATCTTCATAAAGCAGACACGCAAGTTTCGGAGGCATGGCTTCGGCTCGGGGGGCGAGCTGTCGACACGGCGCTCATGCACCCAGTTTAGTGTGTAGAGGTCCTTGGTTCTTTGTGGATGTCAAGAATTAGGAGGTTTGGGTGTGGAGGTTGCGGTACTTTTGCGGCCCCGAAATACGATGCTAAATAAACCCTTAAAACCAGCCACCACTTTGCGATGCTGCAAGGTATGGCCACGACCAAGGTTTGCGGGAGGGTCTCAAGAAGAGCGGCGTGCCACCAAAAGAGGTGGGAGATTTCTCGCTGGTCTGTGCTGTGAATGATGCAGATTTGGGGCAGAGCTAGAGCTTGCCTATGTTGGCGGCGTTCAACTCCAAAGTCCGGCGTTGTGATTCATTCTCGAGGGTGCTTGTCCACTGCTGCAGCTGGGCACCACAAACTCTTGGTTTGCCGAGCCCTGCAGTCGGCGGGAGATCATTTCCCTGCTTCCCTATTTTTCTTGCCTCTCCTGCTGCACAGATTGGCAGATTGGTTTGCAGTATTCGGTGGCCACGACGTAGTCGAAGCTGCTTTTGCGATGTGGGGGTACGTGTCTCTCCCTGTTTTTGTCCGCCTTCCCTGGCTTTTTCCACAGCCAAGCACTAGCCCGGAGCCGGGAGGAAAGAAACCCTACGCGACAGGTTTACATCACCTCCAAGATTCCTCCCGAGCGCATGGGTTTCGACGAGACGCTGGCAGCCGCTGCCGAGGCGCGGAGGATGATCGGGCGGCCAGTGGATTGCTTGCTGCTTGGGCTTTATCCAGTTAGAGGTTTCAATGTTTCGCACCATATTTGAGGTGGGGCCAATGGTCAGGAATCACGACTTAGGTCTTCTGCCAGTACCTGTTCTTCATCTTTGATCACCATTGCTGAGAACAAGCGCTTGGTTTTTCATAGAAACAACAGGACTTACTTTGTTATTGCTGCGGCTGTCAGTAAGATTAAGCATGTCCCGATGCCGCAGATAGGATCCGTCTGGCAACATTCTCAGTTAATGCTCGCACAGCGTCTCAGAGCACTTCTGCAATAGTTCGATTATTATGGCCACTAACTTCTGCACACCTGTGTTTGCGGAATGTGCTATGTGACTTACTTGCACTGTTTGCTCATCTGATCAGCCTGAAATGATATTGCTGTTGTTTCTCACGTCCCCGTGCTGCGCTGCTTTTGTCGTGGTCGTGGTGGGTCTCATGTTTTGCCAACGTGCGGTGGTCATTTGTCATACGGTGTGGTTCGGTGTTTGGCATTTCTGATGCTGTAACTCCGTTTGTGGGGGTCAGGCGACGCTATCCCTTGCGTACTTATAGGTTGATTGAGCACAGGGAAGCTTTGCTACTGCTTTCACGGCCCGCTCATCAGGCCTTTGAGTTTCAAGACTACTCGTTTTACCCTTTGTCATCATGCTGCCGCTGCTGCTGCTGAGACTGCCTACGCATGCTACACATGATATGGAGGGCCAATCGCTCAGATCCGGAAGCTCGAACCGAAGTACGTGCGCGGTTGTGGATCGCAGTATCAACAATCCAGCAAAGCCTGCACTCCAGTCCTGAAGGCAGAGAGCTCTAATCAGGTTTCAGCAAACGAGCCAAGGATGATCCACTGGCCGGGTCGGGCCTGGCCCAAGCGGAGCTCCGACCCAGACTGCGTTCGAGGCAAGGGAGCCGAGCTCCCGGGCGTGCCTGGGCTTGGGGCTTCCAGGGCTTAGGGCTTACGGGTTCGTGGATAAAGGCTTTCGTCTGAAATACGCTAACCCTGTGAACCTAGACCCTAAATGCTGACCCCAGCTCATCCTGGTGGCAGCTGCTCTGTTTCGAAGATGTACAGTACTGTATATGTACAGCTGATGAACTCAGCTGCACAGTGCTGCGATGTGCCTGCAGCTGCCACTTGCCACGAGTTCTTTGGGTATACATTTCCCAGTTCCCTACGTTGTTGAGCTTGGTACTATTTGGTCTCTCTGCAATCTTTACTCTAGCCCATTATGCACGTGACTGGGTTTCCTTGAGGTTCAGGCCCCAGTTTCTCACTTCGTTTGGCGCAGCTGCATATAGCACCATAAGGCCACAGCCACGAAATCCCTAAACCCTAAATCCTAAACCCTAAACCCTATTTGCCCCAAACCCAAGAAAAGCCCCAGCGACCTTAAAAGTCAAACTCAGGGCCCCAAAACCAAGAGACCGTCCCGAAACCCAGAATGGCTGAACCCAATACCTAAACCCCAAACCCAAAAACACCCCAACCATGAACCTCCACTCCTTTTAGAATCGCCACAGAACCCCTTTAGGTGCCTTTGTATGGGAACCCTCATGGGGGCCCTTCATTGATTTTCACAACCCTAGGACTGGTCAGAGTGCCGGCGCGGGACGTGGGAGGCCCTTCAGTCCCTGAAGCGCGCCGGAGAAGTCCGTCACATCGGTGTCTCCAACTATGCGCCTGGGTTTTGAGGTGTTTAAGGATGTTTAAGGTCGGGGTTTGGGTTCAAGGTTCAGTTTTCAAGGATTCATAAGGGGTGTTCGTAGGGATTCAAGTTTATGCGGTTTTGCCGTTCTCACTATGTCACCCTTACCGTTTCTCAGAAGTCTCCGATTCATCTCGCATTTAGGAATGCTACTAGGAAGTACTCCTTTTCTTCTTCTGCTACAGTGTGCACGCAGCGCAAGATTGAGTTTTGCTTTACTTCGAAGGTCGGAACGAGGCAATTCTTCCGAATGGTCGTCTTATCTGTTGCTGGCATTGTTCTCGCACTTCTGCACTTTTGTAATGTTCGAGCATTTGGGGCTGTTGCACTTGTTGGTTGCATGGGCCGATGCGTGGAACCCTTTGCGACTGTAGGCAAAGAAGGAGCCGACTTCAATTCAAAGTCAGCAAAGGAGTTGCCCCATTTGGCGGAGCTGGAGATGCACTCGCTCGATGTCTTACAGATCGAGTTCCACCCCTGGCCGGGTCCGAGTTGGGGGGATACCTGCTTGCCATGGGAGGAAGATTCGATGTGCATGACATTCAGTGGGTTCTAGGTTCTGGACAACACGGAGTTGAGAGACCCTGAAGACAACTTTGGTTGCAGCCTTCATCGCAACTTCTGGTCCGTCGCAGTCATCACCCTAATCAACCTCAGTCTAGAGTACCCCTTTGGAGCCCGATCGGAAAATGGGGACCACTTGGAACTTTGCTGCAAGGCGCGGTCCAAACACCTGGCTCAAAAAACAGCGCCGATTTATTGCCATTGTTTGAATTCTGTGTCTGTCCCGGTGGTTCTTGTCTGGAGGCAGAGGGTGGCAAAGGCCCCCTTGTCAAGGCCTAAGGCCTCAGGGTTGTTTTCCGACTGTGTGGGCCCAAAGCTCGACGAGAACGACTAGAAAAATGAGAGTAGTCTCCACTTGGGCTTCGATTGGTGGGCATTGACCAGCATGGTGTCCCATTGGAGGGATTGATGACGCTTCGAGCAACGTCACAGCACCGACTCGTCCCTTACACGACGGGAGAACCGATCCACCCCAGCCCTGAGATCTCACGCAGCTCGCGAAATCAGGGCTGTCAGCAGACCCAACAACAGCACCATGGGGTCGTATTCTGCAGCGGATGAGAACAGCGAAGTATGCTTGCCCCGCGCGTAGCGCTCTGGAATCTGAGACTGGGCGTGGTATGTCTGCTTTATATGTGAGTTTGCTCAACATTCAATGTGTTTTCTCGTCGGGCGAAACTTGCAGGGACAGCAGCCTCTGTTGCATCTGTTGTCGCAACGGCACATGCGGAGACGGCGCTGTGGCAACCGTGTACAGCAGCATTTCCAGCATACAGAAAGAAGAATAGCCAAGAATCGCAGCGAAAAAGTCCGTAAAGGGCCCGTCAATGGTGCAAGCAGGTGGCGCAGGGCGGACCTCCTCGCCTGGTCCAAGGAGCACGGTGTGCAGCTGGTGGCCTACGGCAGTTTGGGAGGCTCAGATGGGACTGTGGGTCCTTGGTTCAGGGTTGAGTGGGTTTTGTGCTTGGGTGTTTCTGCTGGTCTTCTGGGGTTGGAATCCAGAGCTTTACGGTCTTAAGGTTTCAGTTTTCTTTCTTGCCGTGTGTTGTTGCTTTGGCTGCTGCGGGGAAGGAGACCATTGATCGTGCAGGTGCCGAGACGACATCTACACTGCTGGAACTGCAACCCTGTGTCCTAAGGTATCGTAGTTCTCAGCGCCCGCTTAGGCTGTAGCCGTAGACTCCCGAACAACTGGAAAAGCGCTGAGCCCTGCCGCAGCCAGAGCATGCCTGCCGTATGGTGTAATTGGGGGCTTTGGATTAAAATTAAAGTTACAGTTCGGCGGAACTTGTGGTGATGCGGAAGGTACTTCTGTGTGCTCCATGAACTGGAAGTCCCTCATGCTTATATGTTCGAAGCGCTAAATTATATACCTGTCAAGCTCCTCAGATACAGGAAGTGTAGCTCCCGCAGCATCGTGATTGTCACCCGCTTGAGTTCCCATCAAAGATCTAGACATTGGTATTTGCAATCATACTCATGCCCTCCTATTTACATATGTAATGACATCAGTAGCAAGCATCAAGACACGTTTATATGTGTGCGACGACGCGACGACCACGACGCGCTACTATCTCCGCTGCTACTGCTGTTGCTACTGCTGTCGCTGCTGCGACTGCTGCTGTTGGAATTGCTACTGCTACTATTGCTACGTCGAGTACGACCGGTAGTGCAATGGTACAGATGGCAGCGGGTGGATTCGTTATTTCTTGGCAGTCCTGGACCGCAATGCCTATTTCTAACCCGTGAACGCCGTAAACCCAGCTCCAAGCTTCAGATCCCTACGCTCTTGGGAGACCGCTCGGAGGAGTTGCCTCCGATTGGTTGGGCGACGGTGCGCTCGCAAATCTGGGGAAGGACCAAGGCTGGGCGGCTGGGAGGGACTGATATCTGTTTTCGGCAAGATGCCTCTGTAAGTCTGCGATATCAAGAACATCCTGATGATCTCTAATCATGTGCATGTCCGCATATATATATATATACATACATGTATACATATACTTAAACTGGATCACTAACCAACGAACTAACCAACTAACTAACTAGGAAATCAGCTAACTTGCTAAGTAAATTCACCGAACAGAAAGTAGCCTGACCTAGGCTGCCTACCTACCTACCTACCTACCTACTGGAGTAACTGCCCTAACTACCTACCTTTTGCTACCCTAACTAGCCTACGTAGTCTGGCTGAACTGACTGACCTAACTAAGCTAATCCATCTAAGCTAAGCCATGTAAGCTGACTAACGTAATCTTATCAAAGCTGCTAAAGTAGCCAAACTCACTAAGCTAACAAAACTATCTAAACTACTTATAAGCCCAGCAGACGAAACAACCTAAGTTAGCAAAACTAGCCAAACCAACTAAACTAACTCGACTATCTAACTCACTAAGCAAACTCAACGGCCACCTATCCAACCAAGGAACAAATTGACGAATGACCGAACGAACGAATGAACGAACGAACCAACGAACGAGATCAAGAACTAACGAACTCACCAAGTAGCAGAGAAGCAGAACTAAACTCAACAGCTAACCAAATAACCAAATAACCACAAAACCAACTAGCCAACTAACCAACCAATCAACCAAGTGACCAAGCGACCAAGCTTCCAAGCGACTAAGCAACCAAGCAACCAAGCAACCAAAGCAACCCAAGCAACATAACCTACCCAACCTACCCAACCTACCCAACCTACCCAGCCAACCCAGCCAACCCAACCAACCCAACCAACCCAACCAACCCAACCAACCCAACCACCCCAACCACCCCAACCCAACCAACCCAACCAACCCAACCAACCCAACCAACCCAACCAACCCAACCAACCCAACCAACCCAACCAACCAACCAACCCAGCCAACCCAACCAACCCAACCAACCCAACCAACCCAACCAACCCAACCAACCCAACCAACCCAACCAACCAACCCAACCAACCCAACCAACCCAACCAACCCAACCAACCCAACCAACCCAACCAACCCAACCAACCCAACCAACCAACCAACCCAGCAACCCACCAACCCACCAACCCACCAACCCACCAACCCACCAACCCACCCACCCACCCACCAACCAACCAACCCACCCACTCACCCACCCACCCACCAGCCCACCAGCCCACCAGCCCACTAGCCCACCAACCCACCAACCCACCAACCCACCAACCCACCAACCCACCAACCCACCACCCACCAACCCACCAGCCCACCCCGCCCCCCCTTCTCACAGATTTCACATTGCTGTACCGGAATGGTGCTTATCATTGAAGGTTCGGGCGTTAGCGATCCATGCAGCATTTCCTTACCAGTAAGGACTCCTTTGAGCTCGGCTACTAGCCGTCAAAACAATCAGTTTTGTTGGAGCTCCCCTTGGCACATCTTCGACGTGCAAGCCATGCCCTCCCCACCTTCGAGCTGCCCGCCACCGTGATCGCCGTCATAATTCTCGCAGCCCCCCCCCCGTGGCCGGCTTAAACAGGATATAGTCGCCAGCTGAAACTGTGGGTTTTCATTGCATACTATAGACGTAGGTATATCGCGATTGTACTGGACCGACGTCTCTCTATACATACTCAATACAAGTATAGAATCTTTCGTCTCGCCTCATCGACATTGGTGGGGCTCCTTGGAATGTAGACAGACGGATCAAGAAAGGGTGGAGATTCCCCCCAACCCTCAACGAAAACACGGAGAAAGTCCCTCCAAATCATTCAGCTGATTCCTAGCAGCGAGCTCCTCTACCTCCCTGTAAGTCTCCATCTCCTCTGACGATAAATGAAGGGAGCTCGCTGCTTCGTCATCCGCAAGTCCGCAAGAAATGAGCTTCTTATCCCCAAAAGGGTAAGGAAGAGGTCCCTTGGCACATCCTCTACCGCAGCATCTCAAAGGAGCAGAGAACCCTTCCAACTTACGGGAAAAAAAGAACTCCGGCTGCCTCTCAGTCGACAAGAAGAGAGAGGAGCTCCTTGTCGTCCCCTCTTCCTCCTCAAGGGATAGAAGAGAGATAGCTTTCAAGAAGTGAGGACTGAGCTGTCCGGGTTTCGTGTGCGATGCTGAAATGTCGTGGCTGAGCCCGCGCTAAGGCCAACGCGGCCGCCGATCGTTCTGATCGATATGCGGCTTCCAGGCCAGCGCTTCGAGCGAGAAGTCGCCGGCAGACTCTTCGGCGGCTTGGTCTCAATCTTCACAAGAAGAGTCTGATCCTCCCCCTAGCCTTCAATAAGACATGAGCAGCCCTCTACCCCATCCTCTGAACTAGCTTCCAAAAAAATCCTCTGCCTCATCCTCGACAAGAAGAGACTAAGAGCAATCTAAAGGGGCAGAAGAAAGCGCCATCTCAACAAAGCAAACAGGCCGCTCCAACTTCACGAGAAAGAAGAGGGCTCCGTTTACCCCTCGGCAAGAAGAGACCTCCTTTCTTTCTTGAAAAGGGGAGGACGCTCAAGAAGAAAGGGTGGAGCTCCCCCAATTTTCAAGTAGAGACATCTGGTCATCCCTCAGCATTTAAAAGGAAAAGACCTCATGCTCCAAAACACAAGAAGGGAGTCCCAAGGTGATTTGTGGCAACAGAAGAGAGCATCCTTCTTACCTCTTGGTATGTCGCCTTTTCGTCTTAAGAAGATTGAGGAGACCTCGCTCCTAGCAAGAAAGGATAGAGCTCCCCTAGCTTCCAAAAAAAAGATTTTCTACCTCATCCTCCACAAGAAATCACTGAGAGCTTCCTCCCACCATCTCCTCTGACGATAAATGAAGGGAGCTCGCTGCTTCGTCATCCGCAAGAAATGAGCTTCTTTTCCCCAAAAGGGTAAGGAAGAGATCCCTTGGCACATCCTCTACCGCAGCATTCAAATGAGCAGAGAACCCTTCCAACTTCACGGGAAAAAAAGAACTCCGGCTGCCTCTCAGTCGACAAGAAGAGAGAGGAGCTCCTTGTCGTCCCCTCTTCCTCCTCAAGGGATAGAAGAGAGATAGCTTTCAAGAAGTGAGGACTGAGCTGTCTCAATCTTCAAAAGAAGAGTCTGATCCTCCCCTTAGCCTTCAATAAGACATGAGCAGCCCTCTACCCCATCCTCTGAATTAGCTTCCAAAAAAATCCTCTGCCTCGAGGATTCGACAAGAAGAGACTAAGAGCTTCCTCCAAACTAATGGGCAAAAGAAAGCGCCATCTCAACAAAGCAAACAGGCCGCTCCAACTTCACGAGAAAGAAGAGGGCTCCGTTTACCCCTCGGCAAGAAGAGACCTCCTTTCTTTCTTGAAAAGGGGAGGACGCTCAAGAAGAAAGGGTGGAGCTCCCCCAATTTTCAAGTAGAGACATCTGGTCATCCCTCAGCATTTAAAAGGAAAAGACATCATGCTCCAAAACAAGAAGGGAGTCCCCAGGTGATTTGTGGTAGCAGAAGAGAGCATCCTTCTTACCTCTTGGTATGTCGCCTTTTTGTCTTAAGAAGATTGAGGAGACCTCGCTCCTAGCAAGAAAGGACAGAGCTCCCCTAGCTTCCAAAAAGAAAGATTTTCTACCTCATCCTCCACAAGAAATCACTGAGAGCTTCCTCCCACCATCTCCTCTGACGATAAATGAAGGGAGCTCGCTGCTTCGTCATCCGCAAGAAATGAGCTTCTTTTCCCCAAAAAGGTAAGGAAGAGATCCCTTGGCACATCCTCTACCGCAGCATCTCAAATGAGCAGAGAACCCTTCCAACTTCACGGGAAAAAAAGAACTCCGGCTGCCTCTCAGTCGACAAGAAGAGAGAGGAGCTCCTTGTCGTCCCCTCTTCCTCCTCAAGGGATAGAAGAGAGATAGCTTTCAAGAAGTGAGGACTGAGCTGTCTCAATCTTCAAAAGAAGAGTCTGATCCTCCCCTTAGCCTTCAATAAGACATGAGCAGCCCTCTACCCCATCCTCTGAATTAGCTTCCAAAAAAATCCTCTGCCTCATCCTCGACAAGAAGAGACTAAGAGCAATCTAAGGCGGCAGAAGAAAGCGCCATCTCAACATAGCAAACAGGCCGCTCCAACTTCACAAAAAAGAAGAGGGCCCCGTTTACCCCTCGGCAAGAAGAGACCTCCATTCTTTCTTGAAAAGGGGAGGACGCTCAAGAAGAAAGGGTGGAGCTCCCCCAATTTTCAAGTAGAGACATCTGGTCATCCCTCAGCATTTAAACGGAAAAAGCCTCATGCTCCAAAACAAGAAGGCAGTCCCCAGGTGATTTGTGGCAGCAGAAGAGAGCATCCTTCTTACCTCTTGGTATGTCGCCTTTTCGTCTTAAGAAGACTGAAGAGACCTCGCTCCTAGCAAGAAAGGACAGAGCTCCCCTAGCTTCCAAAAAGAAAGATTTTCTACCTCATCCTCCACAAGAAATCACTGAGAGCTTCCTCCCATGTAATGAGACGCAAGAGAGCTTCATCTCAGCCCAGCAGACAGGCCCCTCCAACTTCACGAGAATTCAAGGTCTCCGTTTACCCATCGGTCGGAAAGAAGATAACTCCTTTCTCTCTTCATAAGGGGTTGGATCTTGAGCATTTCTTTTACCTTTTCAAAAGATGGAGAACAGCATACGCACAAGAAGAAGAAACCTCCTTTCTCTCTTGGCAGTGGAAAGAGATCCTGATTACTTCCCTTACCTTTTCAAAAGATGGAAAAGGGCATACGCTCAAGAAGAAAGGGCGGCGATGCCCCACCCCTCAACGAAAACACGGAGAGAGTCCCTCCAAGTCATTCAGCTGATTTCTAGCAGCGAGCTCCTCTCTCTCTTGGTAGGTCTCCATCTCCTCTGAAGAGAATTGAAGGGAGCTCGCTTCTAGTCGAAGAAGACAAGGCTCAACGCATCTCCAGTTTCAATAAGAACTGCGGCTGCCTCTT